CCCGGTGACAATGTTAACTAAATGCAGCCACAGAGTCTACCCATATAAAGGGACCAATTTACTTCATTCACAGTCCGCCTGAGACTCAAGGCAGATTATGCAATTAAAAAAAACCTTGACACAGAGAGTAGTCCACCTTTCTGTGTTATACCTCTGAGGATGCCAGTCACAGCTGCTGGCGAAACGTCAGGTCCTACAATGCCAATTCCATGGCCATACAGCCCGGAAATTCAATAAAATGGGATTACAAAATTGGTACATAGCACATTAAAAACAGTAAACTACATAAATTAACCCCTGGTATGTGGAAAACACTTAGGGATTAATAATAACCACAAACCCTGATGACTTAATCAAAAACAATTATAACAGTTTAAAACATGTCAAGATCTCCCTGGCTAGAGTAAAATGAAATTCTCTTGGCTTAATAAGATCCACATTCTCAAAATGGTAGTACTGCTAAACTGTGGTATCTCTTACTACTTACCTTGTCTCGCAAGTATATTGCAGAATGGCAGAGGCTTATAGATCTTTTTATTTGGAGTCAAAAGGAAGTCAGGTTGTCTCCTAATATTTGATAGCCCACCCCTAAGGGTGGTTCCAGACCTCTCTCTCTCTGTTACTCAGCATCTTAATTTAGAAATATCTACCTAAATATTTCAGGGAACTTCAGGAAAACAGGAACCAACACAGAAGAATCCTATTGCAACCAGTATACTTCAAAAGAGATTATCCGGATGCACCATCCCAAAATATTAAATACACTTTTTCTACTCCCCTTAAATCTGAACAAGTACAGCTTTAAATTGATTCCATACATTTCTGCAGTACCGTAGGACAAGAATTTTTCATATGTGAAGAGACCAAACTTCCTTTTCATTCTGAGGAACAATCTACAAAAGTTAAACAATGTGTCAAACAGGGTTTATTGTACATAAAACTTACAAGAGCAGTCCCTTCCTGTTGTAATTCCTTGGTTTCAATACCTCTAGGTTCAACAGTGGATAAACATCCCCAGATGTTAAAAGACAACTTACAAGAGAACTCATAGTTTAAAAAGACAATTTACAAGAGAACCCACAGGTTCAGAAATGGATTACCAATAGCTCTCCTTACCTTACCAAAACTATTTTTTTTCTTTACAAAACTTTAGGAGCTTGTGTTTGGTATGCAGTTCCAAACTATATCCTCAATAAATGGGAAAGGAAATTGCATGAACGCCACATTTTGGTCCTTTATATGGACAACTCTGTTTTTACTTCTCTACACATCAATATAAGAGAAGTGTGCTGTAAGCCCTAGTCAAGGTGGATTTTCGCTCCAGAGAAACCCCCAATATATTTATAAAACACTTCAGCCAAAGGTTGGAAGAAATGTGGAGAAAATAAGAACATAAGAGAAGCCAATGTTGGAACAGGCCAATGGCCCATCCAGTCCAACACTTTGTCACACTAAGGCTGAAAATACCAGGTGACGTCAGGAGGTCCAGCAGTGGGGCCAGGACACTAGAAGCTCTCCCACTGTCTCCCCCCAGCACCAAGATTACAGAGCATCACTTGCCCCAGATTTCCTATCTATACCTTGTGGCTAATAGCCACCGATGGATCTCTGCTCCATATGTTTATCCAATTCCCTCTTGAAACTGTCCATGCTTGTAGCCGCCATCACCTCCTGTGGCAGTGAATTCCATGGGTTAATCACTCCTATGAGTTCTTGTATTGTGAGAAAGAGAGAAAAGTACTTCTTTCTCTACCTGCTCTATCCCATGCATAATCTTGTAAACCTCGATTATGTCACCCCTCAGCTGTCGTTTCTCCAAGCTAAAGAGCTCCAAGCGCTTTAACCTTTCTTCATAGGGAAAGTCCCAGCCCTTTTATCATTTTAGTTGCCCTTTTTTGCACTTTTCTCAATGTTATAATATCCTTTTTGAGGTGTGGTGACCAGAACTGTACACAGTGGAGGAAAGGGTACCTTTTATCACATCTGGTGTAAAAGTTCAACATTTTAAAGCTCTGATTAAATATCATATCCAAAAGATAGTAGGCTAAATTGATACTACTTGGATATATTGAATACAAATACCTCAAATTCAGAACAGCTTATAAATTTGCTACTATTAGTTGATAAAGTGCAAACAGTATTGTTCGCTATACTTTTTTTCAAATGTAGATCTAAGCACAAAGCCAAACTATACCTTAAACATACAATTTAAAAATGCACGTAACACCAGAGTTTTCTATCTATGTAGGTAAACTTTATTACGAACAGTTGTGCCATAATGATTCTCATGGGTTTCTATTATGATAACCAAGATGCATCTATACATAGATTTTTATCATATTTACATCACTGTGTTGCTAAAAGTTACGTCAACTAACTTCTTGTGACAAATTTGGCATATTTGTCAATGTAACCTGTGATTTACCTGTTGAAACAAAAGTTTTAAAAATTAAAAAGGCATACTATATATAATACATACAATGAAACAAAACTGGATTATAAACTTAGAGACACGGTACAACAGTATGCCATACACAATGAACAAAGCAATGAAAACAAACGTTTCACAGACATTAAAACCCTGCTAACATGCGTGCAGGGGGGGGGGGAGCCAGCCTCACACATATTATATCATGGGGTATATTTAACCCCAGCCAAAATTCCAATTGGATGTATTTTTGCTACCACAAGAATTCTGTGGCAAGGCAAACACGGTCTGTCATCAGCAGGGCCTGCATCTCCCCAAAGACATTTAAACAAGATTCACTGGAGCCATGTTTGCCATAGGGGAAAACTCATGTAGCATTTTTTAAAACCCTAAACGTGTACTCTCTCCCTGCCTCAAATCACGACCCCAGTCTAGATGTTTTTCCTCCCACTGGCAAAAGTCTGTAGGGTACTTTTATGTATCCCTTCTCCCTTCTCGGGTATCTTTAAATCACATGGCTTCCCCCCCCCCCCCGAAAGGGAAAATATCACAATGGCTTGGGATCCCAATCTCCCCTTCTCAATAAAACCCAAAACGACCCCTCAAGTGCTGCTCCTGGGGTACACCTCCCCAAGGACAGTCGGAGGAGGGAGCTGGAAGTCTGTAGCAAGAGTTGGGGGGGGAATGGCAAAAAACCATCCTCCCCCCTTCCTTCCATTAGCAGAAACTTTCCAGAGGACCGAAGCCAATCTGAGTTTGCCTAAAGGTTCCTTGTTTTGTCAAAAGCCTCCCCCCTCCCCGAGTCATTTTAAAGAAAAGCATACAAACAGATACAACCTTCAGTAATCAGAGAGAATATTCACAATGATGTTTTAAAATGGCACTGAACAATAGACAATAAAATAAGATCTCGGTACTTCTCTCTACGCGTGGATACCGATGGCCTGAAATGGTCCGACACAGAGGATGGCAAGTGAAGGCCTCGGTTCCCTTCTTTTGTTCTGGCGGTCAACGGTCCGGGTGCCAGCAGCAAGGGAAGGCAGAAGGAGGCAGCCAATGGCTCCTCCCCGCGCTACGGGCGGCAGGCCTTCTGACAGTCAGCCGCGAGGAAGGCCATTCGGGCCGGCTTGCACCGTGGCGCTAACATCGGGACTCTGAACACAAAGATGACCTCGGTGCTTCAAGGAACTTCCCCAACAGTGGCTGCTCAAACTCAGTTGACCCACTGGCACAGTAAACCCAACAGGGGAGGACAGGAGAGGCTGCATCCGTAGAGTGGTCGAGCTCCAACAATGCCTTCCAAACCAGTTTGGAGTTTTCTGGAGCATCCCCACCACGCTGTCTTCCAGTTGCTCCCTTTCCTTGGTGTCCCCCTGGTTTGCCACAGTCTTTCTGGAAAGACCACAGTCGAAGAGTCAGCACACCTGCTACAGGATTAGTTGTTTATTTTCAGGCCTCCCACCCACAGTGGAACCATTTACTGCCATCATCCCCTCGCAGCTGCCATTTCCCCCTCCAGGCCACTGGATTTGAAATGAAACAACAATCCCCAGTTCCTATGGTGAACAAGTTCCTACAGATATTAAAAAACAAAAAAAAAAACCCTGCAGTGGCATAGTGTGGGGGGAAGCGGGCGCAAGGGGGTGACGGAGGGGAGTGCACACACAACCCCTGTGTCTGAAGCACATTTGAAGCGCCTTTGCTGCCTCAAAGGTCTCTGTGTTCAAGGTAAAGGTAAAGGTTCCTGTGCTCGAAAGCCAGTCGAATCCGACTCTAGGGTTGCGGTGCTCATCTCCGTTTCAAAGCCGAAGAGCCAGCACTGTCCGAAGACGTTGCCGTGGTCATGTGGCCGGCATGACTAAACACCAAGGCGCACGGAACGCTGTTACCTTCCCACCGAAGTGGTACCTATTTATCTACTTGCAATTTCTTGCTTTCGAATTGCTAGGTTGGCAGGAGCTGGAACTAGAGACGGGAGCTCACTCCGTCATGCGGCACCCGGGTCTCGAACTGCTGAACTACCGACCTCCCACAGCCTGCAGTTCAGCGTCTTAACCACTTGAGCCACCGCAGCTCCCTCTGTGTTCAAAGCAGTAATCAATTCACAACAGAGAACGGTCAGCATGCGGTGTAGGTAGAGACTACACTGAGGATGCTTGATTAACTAGTGGCCTGGCCACTGTCCCCTTTCCAGCCCCTCGCCTTCTTCCCAGAATGCCAAGGGTGCACCCTTACACCAGCTCAATCTAGCACCCATCACATGAACATATGCTGCCTTATACTGAATCAGACCCTGGGTCCATCAAGGTTAGTGATGTCTACTCAGACTAGCAGTAGCTCTCTAGGATCTCAGGCTAAGATCTTTCCCATCAGCTACTGCCTGACCCTTTTAAATGGAGATGCTGGGGATTGAACCTGCAGTCTTCTCCTTGCTAAGCAGATGCTCTACCACTGAGCCACAGCCCCTCCTCAATCCATTTGAACCTACCTGGCATTCTATGAGGGATGCAGCCAAGGGGCCTCACGCATTCCTCCACATTCTGAGGCATTCCCCCTGTCAGGTGGCAACATCAGGGGAAGGCCCTAAACTCTACGCCCTGTTGTTGGACCTACACAGGCCACTGTGAGACAGGATGCTAGACTCGATGGACCACTGGTCTGACCCAGTAGGGCTCTTCTTATGTTCTTTTTTTAAAAAAAAATCTGGCCTGATGAAGAGTTCTGGAGAACCTGAATGTTCGCACATTATTTCGTGTCGTTTCAGTTGGCTGTAATAAAAGCAATTTAAAGAAACTTTTGAGTCTGGACTTTGCAGAGAGGAGAAAGGGTGGGAAAGCCAGGGAAGCAGGTAGCCGTCACAAGAACCAGCATTTTAACAGCAGACCAGGCCCTGAGTTTGGACACGGGAGGAAGGAAGCGCAGCAGCATCACACTGCTTGTTTTTAAACCATGAAATCAAAATAAGTGACCCTATCGATTCTGCTGATCAAAAACATTTCATAAAAACAGCAACATTCTCCCCAGAGCACCAAGAGAAGAGCCAGATTTCCTGGCATCAAACACAGTCTTGCCAGCATTGGATTTAGTACTGACAGGGACTGGCACCTGGTGCCATGGGCAATGCTGGAGATCTAGGGGTAGGCAGTCCCGATGGAGGGGCTTGGGAAACAGAGCTTGTGTGCACTGCAGAACTATTCCCACATTGATCCACTAACTACTTAAATAATTAAATATCATTATGTTTTTACCTTAAAACTGGATCGCCAAGGGAAAGGCGGCACCCTCTGGTTCTTCCTTTTTAAACCTGTATTTCTGCTGGCCCCTTGCTGCTCTAAGTAACTCTGGGTTCCTGTACAGGAACTCGTGGAAGTCTGCGCAGGAAATATTGAAGTTCAGCTGCACCTGCAGCTCTGCTTTCACCACACTGTCGCTCAGTCTGTTTCTGTCCTTGCTCCACAGCTGTGCCATGAGACTGTAGATCTTCTCGCAGAAGGTGTTGGACACAGGAATGGAAAGCACAAAGGAGACCAGCTTCAGCAGTTGGCTGTCCGCACGCTCCGGGATATGCCGGAAAACCTTCACCCACCGCTGATCTATTTTCTGCTCCTTGGAGACAATCTCTTCTCTGAACTTCTGCAGAACGCAATACTCATTGTAGAGCTGGTCGATGTCTATCTCAATGCGGAGGGCTGCCACCAGAGCCACCAAATCAGACCACTTGACTTCATTGTTGAGTGAGAGCACGGCCATCGGTTCAAAAACGGCTCCTTTGAAACTGTAACACTCCTCCAGGAACGCAATGCACTGCGTCAACATGTTCTCTGCTTCCTCAGTGAACTTCTGGTTGTCAAAGACAGAGACATTGCCCAAAATGACTTGGGCGGATCTTCCGTAGAATTTGTCCTCTCTTCTTCTCTTCAGCTTGCAATGGAGGCCTTCCAGGACACCGTGCAGTTCTGTGCTGCCGACATGGTCACACTCCATTTTTTTCACAGCATCAGAAAATATTCTCATCAGGTTGTGCACAAAGTGAACGTAACAAAGAGGGAGAGACTCATGCTCTTCCGCATTGAATGCTTCCCACACGATCTTCACGCATTCTTCGTCCCCCTCTGACAAGAAGTACGCCCTCAACACTGACCAGTTTTCGAGGACTCGGTCAATGGCGGGCAGAAGGGCAAGCCATCCTGTCGATACATGCTGAAGCACATCTTTGTAGTCTGTTTCCACAAACTCAAAAAATGACGTAAGAGACTCTGTCTTTTTGGGTGAGGATGAAAACTCGCTGTATATCTTGAAAATTAGTGTTTCTACGTCAAAGCTCAGTGCCCTCATCCCCTTTTTGAGACAGTTGTGGATGATGCGGCCGATACACCCCACTTGTAACAGTCCATCATTAAGCTGCTTGAGGTCCTGGAACACCGCCCAGTGTTTTGCAAAATCCACGGAGGCATTGTCGATCATGTAAGACGCCACTCGGCTCACGCTGAGACCATTCTCCTGTAGAATAATGGCGATCCGCGTTGCAATTGAATCGCTTGTCAATTCGTTGTAAAAATCGAGCAGGCCATGCTTAATTCCCTCTGTCACAGAAAAGTAACGCACAGTGACTGGGAAAAATTTCTTATTCCTCTTGTTGGAGGCATCCGATGCAATGGAGAAAAAAGGCGCAACCTCCAAGTCCTTCAGCAAAAGCTCCCGCGACTTGGGGGCCAAAACACTCTCCGCGATGCTGGTGGCTTTCGTCCGCCCACAAGACATTTTTCTCGCGACAACCGAATCGGGTAAAATCCGCGAGAGCGTTTTATACGCACAAGCTTGGCTTGCGTAGCTCAGATGGTGCACAATGCTGTGGTAAACCTGTCCAACTTCCGCCGCCGTCACCATATCTTCTTGGGAGAAGTTTGGTTTGTTGAAAAAGGTCAGGATTTCCGGCATTTGTTTACGCTGTTTCTCCAGTTCTTTGTGCTTGGAGCTGTCTGCGTGGCTGGTCACCGCTCCTCTTCCCTCATATTTTATTGAGAATCCCTGATGGCACAGAATGCATTCGGCTGTCACCATGTCCACTTTGTGAAGCCAGCCTTTGAAGGCCTCTTCTTTGCACCACTCGTCCTTAAAATAGCAATAGTACTTTCTCTTCTTCACTGAGCCAGTGGTTGAATTCCCTTCGCTAGCATCCATGTTTCCCTGATTCTGTTTGGTCTTTATTTTTGAGCCAAGCCCGCCTCCTGCAAACAACAAAAACAACAACACAAATTGCCCCTCATTCCATATAGGTCGGAGCCCACAAACTCACCAGGTGGGTATTTTTTTCCATCACACAACAGGACAGCTGAAGGATGTTGCAGGCAGTGTTCCCTCTAAGCTGAATTAGTGTGAGCTAGCTCACAGTATTTTAGCCTCCGGCTCACACATTTTTGTCTCAGCTCAGGAGGGAGGGCTCCAGAGCAGACTAATTTATGCAGCGGCCAAATGGCTCACTCACAACTTTAATGCCGGTAGCTGACAAAGTAGAATTTTTGCTCACAAGACTCCACAGCTTAGAGGGGGCATTGGTTGCAGGGCTTCATGTTCCACAGCACTCCTCTTCAGAGAAAACTGAGGCTTAAGAGCTCCACAGTCTCATTAACAAGTTCTGTGTAGCCTAAAATGCTGCGAAACCTTTGAAAAACTGGTTGATACAATTTAGTTAGGTACTTATACACCACTTTTCTCTCCAGTAGAGACCCAAAGCAGCTTCCGACGTCCTTCTCTCCTACTCCGTTCTGTCCTCACAACTCTTGTGAGGTAGGTTAGGCTGTGAGTGACTGGCCCAAGGAATCGCGCTGAGCTTCCTTGGCAGAGCAGGTACCTAAACCTGAGTATCCCAGATCCTAGTCTCACCCTCTAACTACAGGGTGGGAACTAGACTAAATTGGCAATTCCCACTGATTCTCCTTTCCCCCTGTAGACCCCTTTTTCATGTGATTCCTCTGAGTCCCCTATTCCAAGGAGCAGCATTTCGTTCGGATTTGGGTGGGGGGGGCGCTTTAGTTCTGTTTTGCTGAAAGAAAATTTAGTCTGGATTTAGCCCACAGTCATCCACAGAACATGCCCCCCACACTCTTTACCCACTATTATTTTACTTTTATTTTATTACTTTATTTTTTATAATTGTATTACTTTACCCGGTTTGGTGTAATGGTTAAGTACACGGACTCTAATCTGGGAGAACGGGGTTTGATTCCCCACTCCTCCACTTGCAGCTGCTGGATGACCTTGGGCAAGCCATAGTTCTGTCAGAGCTATTCTCTCAAGGACAGCTCTGGAAAGAGCTCTCTCAGCCCCACCTACCTCACAGGGTGTCTGTTGTGGGGAGGGGAAGGGAAAGGAGTTTGTAAGACACTCTGAGACTCCAGGTGAAGGGCGGGGTCTAAATACAATCTCTTCTTCTATGATTGGGAAAAATAAATATACAACACAATCCCACACTGCTGAAGTTACTCTTAAGCATGTCTAGAACTGCAGTCATAAACCACTTACAAGCAAAGGTGACTATCTGCAAACTTCTAGGAGTAAATGGATTCAATCTGAAACAGTACAATCTTAAACACAGTTATACCCGTCTGTTGAGATCAAGGGGTTTAGGATGGTGTAACTTTGTTTAGGATTGCACTGTAAATTTCTCTAGCTCCACCGGTTTGGATTTTCTGGTGTCCCACTTTTCTGAGGCCACCCTGTGGGATGTTTTGCCCCCTGGCTCACAACCCAATGCATGTTTATTAAGAAGGAAGTTCTCTTGAACTCAAGACGACTTCACAAAACCCATTTCCGAGAGTCAGTTCTCAAGACGCAAATACGTTTTTGTTGCTGTTCTGGCGCTCTAATTCCTCACTCTCCCTGCCTGCAAATAGTTTAGTCCGAGAGTAATACGGGAATGATCATTTCGGTGAACGCAGCTTTTAAAAAATAAGTCACGTAGCATTTCGTACCCCGCCTGGGTCCACCGCTTTGCTACACGGGACCAGCGGCGGATGCAGGGGTTTTCTTTGGGTCTCAGTAGGCTCCAATGCCCATTTCTTTCCCATTTTTTCCAGTCTCCACCCCCACCTCCGCTCCTAGCGGCATGCCGAGCTGTATCCTCCTACGAGGTCGGCTGGACCGAGAAAGGACTACCCACGAGCCCCGAAAACGAGCTTAAAACGCTTGTTACCTTCTCGGTCCTTGGTCCTCGCTGCTCGCTCTCTCGCTTGCATGCAACGTTTCTTTGCAAGGCTTCCCCGCCGCACTTTTGGCGCGAGGCAAGGTCGGCCCTCTTCGATGCTCCGGCGGCCAGCGAGAGGGGAGAAAGAAGCTCCCCCCCGTCCGCTCTAGGAATCTCCCGACTCTCCCAGGCCCCTAGCATCCCTGCATTCTTTCCTACCAAAGAGACTCAAAAGTCATGGGGATTCCCAGAGGGGTACGACCTACTTCCGGTCGGAGCACGGGCGGCTGCGCAGCCTCAGTTCTTCCGGAAATCGGGAGATTGCGACCAGCCTCGTCTGGTTCCCTTGGAGAAGGCGTTCAACCACGTGGAGGCTGTTCCCCGGCAGTCTGAAGTCCTGGCACCGGGTGTGTGTGTGTTGTGTTGCAAGCAATGTTCCCTCTAAGCTGTGGAGTCTTGTGAGCAAAAATTCTACGTTGTGAGCTACTGGCATTAAAGTTGTGAGCGAGCGATTTGGCTACTGCATAAATTAGTTTGCTCTGGAGCCCTCCTTCCTGAGCGAAGACAAAAATGTGTGAACCGGAGGCTAAAAAACTGTGAGCTAGCTCACACTCACTCAGCTTAGAGGAAACATTGGTTGCAAGTGCAGAGCAGACGCTCCTACTGAGCCGCGGTCCTTCCTTCAAGCACACGAATCGTCCCGTCTGTAGGTTGCCAGCCTCCAGGTGGGGCTGGAGATCTCCCGGAATTGCAACCGATCGGATCTTCAGACGACAGAGTTGAGTTCCGTGGAGGAAATGGCTGCTTTGGACTCATTGAGGTCCCTCCTTTCCCCAAATCCCATCCTCCACCCTCACATCTCCGGGCATTTCACATCGCAACCCAGTTAGCAACCTTAGCCCGTCTTCTGAGTCATTCTGTGCCCCTCCCCTCTTATTGCCTGCTCTAACAAGCCGTGGCTCTCAGAAACAAAAGCCATCTCAGTTGCCAACAGGCCTGAAGAAAAACGGCCTGTCCTTTTAATAAGAGGCTCGATGGGATGACATTAATCGTCCCTGCGAACTGCTTCACCTGTTTATTGCCACACACTGAGCCCGGGAGGTCTTTCCCCTGGCACCCTCAGCCTAACCTAAATCACTCTGTTATTGTGAGGCTGAAACGGGAAGGGAGAAGAATGTATGCTACCCTGAATTCCTGAGGGGAAGAACAAGAGAAAAAATATGCTAGATAATTCGCTTGTTAGCAATGCATTTTCTGTTTTGCTTTACCAGGAAGCTGAGACCCCCCCCCAAGACGTATTCAGGCCCCCCCACACACACACACAAACACCCCAGGTACTTTGGCATGAGTGCCAGGGAGACAGCTTCCTGGGACAGTGCTGGAGGGTGTCGGTTTCTTTGGATGAGAAAGCCCTGGAGAGACTGCTGGCTGTTTTGTAGCATTTGCTTTATTTTAAAATATCTAAGCAGAGAAAGCGGAAGGAAAAGAGCAGCCGATTTATTACCCCGCACCAGATCTCTACAGGAAGGGGTGGCAACTATGCTCTACTATGCCATCTTGGATTGGTTTTAATTTATTGTTCTACTGTCAATAATTTTAATTATATGTCAGTTGTATTTTAAATGTTTATAAGGTTGTAAGTCGCCCAGAGCCTGCTTGCAGGGCTGGCCATTTATAAATCCAATAAAATAAATAAACCTGCCCTGTGAGCAATGCTCCCTCTAAGCTGTGGAGTCTTGTGAGCAAAACTTCTACTTTGTGAGCTACTGGCATTAAAGTTGTAAGTGAGCAATTTGGCTGCTGCATAAATTAGTTTGCTCTGGAGCCATCCTTCCTCAGCTAGGACAAAAATGTGTGAGCCGGAGGCTAAAAAACTGAGCTAACCTACATTAACTCAGTTTAGAGGGAACACTGCCTGTGATGCAGAAGCCTTCCTGGAGGTACACACTTGTGCCCGGATGGGAGGCCTACACTGAACTGAGACTAGATGCCCTCTTACATCATTCCCAGCCCTAACCTTCTGTGATTCACTCTTGCACCCCAAGGGTTGCTTCACTTTCAGCTCTCTCTTTCTGCTGGTTCTCCTGTGCGATCTGCTAAGCAATCACTTTACATCCCACCTCTGGCAACTGATATCCCCATGCAAGGAACACCTACAGCTGTGGAACTCATTCTGTGGCTTGTGGAGAGCTGCATTTGCAGTTACCCTCAACCGAAAGAGCCACACCTGAAGGCACATGAAGCTGCCTCCTGAATCAGACCGTTGGTCCATCAAGGTCAGTACTGTCTACTCAGACAGCAGCTCTCCAGCGTCTCTGGCAGAGATCTTTCACATCATCTCCTGTTGTTCTTCACTTGCACAGTCAAGTCCGACCTCATGGACCACGTCATGTCAGGACCTCCTGTCTTCTGTCGTCCTCTGGAGTTTGCTTAATTTCATGTTCGTTTCATCGATAAGCCAGGGCTATTTTTGGGCAGGAACGCAGTTCCGGCTGGCTTCCAAGTTGGCCACGCCCAGTAGGAACTCATTAGCATAATAGGCCACACCCAACATCAGAAACTCATCAGGATTGGCTACATTAGGGGTGTGTGGCCTAAAATGCAAAGGAATTCCTGCTACAAAAAAGCCCTGGGTTTTGACAACAAACAAGGTAAACAGAATAAGAAGCAAAAGGTGGGTGTGGCTGGATGAGCACACTTCTGGTAACATGGGGGTGTGGCCTAATGTGACAATGAGCTGTGCTGCCAGGGTGTGGCCTAATATGCTAATGAGTTTCTGCTGTTGGGTGTGGCCTATTATGCTAATGAGTTCCTGCTGGGCTTTTTCTACAAAAAAAGCCCTGGATAACATTGTCTAACCATCATCTCCTACATGACCTTTTTAAAGTAGAGCTGTCAGAGATTGAACCTGAGACCTTCCGGGTGGCAAGCAGATGCTCTGGAACTGAGCCACATTTACTTTAGTCAAATGCTCCCTCCAAGCTGTGGGGTCTTGTGAGCTGCTGGCATTAAAGTTGTGAGCCAGCGATTTGGCTGCTGCATAGATTAGTTTGCTCTGGAGCCATTCTTCCTGAGCTAAGACAAAAATGTGTGAGCCGGAGACTAAAAAACTGTGAGCTAGCTCACACTAACTCGGCTTAGAGGGAACACTGCTTCAGTCCCCAGTATGACGCCTATAAGTCAGGAGGGCTGACAGCTTTCCAGTTCCTCCAGTGGTGGCTGTTTCAAGGTGGGAGTCACCTGCCAACTCTAAGCCCCACTAGGCAAGAGTCTTGCCCCCTTTCCTGAAACCAGGAGTGGGTGCCACATTGCGGAACGGTGCCCAGAAGAGCCACAGGTGGCTCCTGAGCCACTGAATATCACTATACAGCCACTAAAGGAACACTTACGATGGAACTGCCTTTTCCGTTTTGTTCTAGGATTCATGACAATATTAGCAAAAGGCCGCCACTGTGGCTACCGTTTACATGGACCAGTCACAAGACACAGTTATCACTTTCCCTGCCCCAAGTCATCACTCTAGCCCAGCAACTTTTTCTCCTAATGGGAAAAATGTATGGGTAATTTTATTTATTTATTGACAGCCAGTTTGGTGTAGTGGTTAGGAGCGCGGATTCTAATCTGGGAGAATCGGGTTTGATTCCCCACTCCTCCATATGCAGCTGCTGGTGTGACCTTGGGTTAGTCATAAGTTCTCTCACAGGCAGTTCTTGAGAGAGCTCTCCCAGCCCCACCTACCTCACAGGGTATCTGTTGTGGGGAGGGGAGGGAAAAGGAGATTGTAAGCCACTCTGAGACTCCTCCGGGTAGTGAAGGGCAGGGTATAAATCCAATCTCCTTTTCCCCCCACCAACGGAGGTAAAGAGCAGCTTGGGGGTAGCAGCTACTTTATTTTCAGGAGTCAAAAAATCCTTCCCCCTCCCAGCTCCACATGGGTCCATTTAAGTGACAGCCCTTAGCGGCTTGGATCCCACAGCAAATCTTTGCTGACTGAAGGGATTCCCCTCAGCAGACCAGGCCCTCCTCAGCTCCCCCCTCCCTCTGCAGCCCAAAATGACTCCTGAAATGCTTCTCCTGGGAGACAGAGACACCACCACCCCGGAGCAGCATGACAAAATTGGGAGGATGCGGGGGAGAGAGGAGTCCACAAAAATACACCCCCCCCTCATACTGTTAATTGAAATTTTCCCGGGGATCGAAGCCTATCTAGTTTTGGCCAAAGGTTCTTTTTAGTCGCTTCAAATATAACCACTGTAATAGACCTACCTGTATGTTGGCCCAGGAAAGCTCCCCCCCCTGAAGCCTAGAAGACGAAGCCGGTGTGGTGCCGTGGGAAGACTCAGGTTCAAAGCATCACTTAGCCATGAACCAGAGTGAGTAGCCTTGGACCAATTCTTCTACCGCCCTCTAACTTACCTCAGAGTTGTTGTGACCCTAGGAGAGCCAGTGTGGCGTAGCTATTCAGGTATGGAGAGACCCAGGTTCAAAAATCTGCTCAGTTACAAGAGTCCCTGGATGATGTTGGGACTGTCAGCCTGCCCTACCTCACAGCATTGTTAACGAGGACAAAATGGCGAGGGAAGAGTCATGTACTGGTGGTGGGGAAAGTGCTGTCCAGTCACGCTGACTTATGGCGACCCTGCAGGGTTTTCAAGGCAAGAGATGTTCAGAGGTAGGTTGCTGTCGCCTGCCTCTGCGTCACGCCCCTGGTATTCCTTGGAGGTCTCCCATCCAAATACTAGGCAGGGCTGGCCCTGCTTAGCTCTCGAGATCTGACAAGATAGGGCTAGCCCGGGCTATTCCCATCGAGGCAATCATGTACTAAAGTAAAGGTAAAGGTTCCCTTGCTCAAAAGCCAGTCGAATTCGACTCTAGGGTTGCGGTGCTCATCTCCGTTTCAAAGCCGAAGAGCCAGCGCTGTCCGAAGACGTTTCCGTGGTCATGTGGCTGGCATGACTAAACACCAAGGCGCACGGAACGCTGTTACCTTCCCACCGAAGTGGTACCTATTTATCTACTTGCAATTTCTTGCTTTCGAACTGCTAGGGTGGCAGGAGCTGGAGATGGGAGCTCACTCCTTCATGCGGCACACTCGGGTCTCGAACTGCTGAACTACTGACCTTCCACAGCCTGCAGTTCAGCGTCTTAACCACTTGAGCAACCGCCGCTCCTAATCATGTACTACCACACACTTATTCTAAGCACCTCAGGGC